TCAGTTACCAAAAAATATTAGAGAAATCAAATACAAGAGGCTTCACTGGAAACATGACAAAACTGGTCCCTGAAGAACCACAGAGAGATTATTTTTTTAATCCAACTGAAAAACAACTCTGTACTTGCTTCTGACAGTTATTCTCACCTCCCTGAAATAAATTCGTTACACACAATGTGACTGGGCAATGGTCCCTCTAACCTCAAAGGCAAAGGATCCTGTCACAGTCACTGACAATGGACCATGGGTTAAGGGGTAGGAGCTCTATGAGTTTAGGCAAATCTCTGCTGTATCTCAACAGATTGACAAGGTAATAAAGGTGGCACAGAGAGTTTTGTTGGGGGAAGCCCTGCAGTGCACGACACCCATTCATCACTCACCGGCAGGGAGACACCCCACTGTCCTCACTGCTTGCTCAGCACAGCCCCTCACCATTTGTTGCATTTGAAAATCACCACCTTTGAAATGGCAGAAAGTTAAAGCACCTTTGAAATAGCAGAAAGTCCAAGTACCTTTGAAATGGCAGAAAGCAGGGCCCATTCTCTCACACAAAGGGGACCCCGAGCCTTCACAGGCGGCAAACGGGGTCTGGGGGCTCTTCTGTGAAAGGACATAAGACCCTTTTGAATGTACTCATTAGTGTTGTGGCTGGCAGAAACTGTTCTTCTGTGCCCCAGCTGATGAACACGAGTGCTGCTGCCAAGTCTGTTGATAAATAAAAAAAGATAGGAAAAGCCTTATGGTTTTTGAAAAAGGCAACAGGAACTCAGTGCTCAAGGCAGCAAACACAATTTGCAGTAACAGACTGGAGTCCAAGAGCAGCTCAGTGGTGATATTCCACCCTATTTTCCTCTTAAACATCAGCTTTTAACAGCAGAGAAATCGATGGCACTAAAGGCAGCAAGGATCAAGCTGATGGGGAATGCTGCAAACTTCTCCAAACAGCCTTCCTCATTCGCTTCATTTATCACCTACAGCCTCAGCTCTTCCGGCTCCGGGCATGCTCCCCTCCTCCTCGGCCCTGCAAGCAGGACTAATTTTCATTAACGACAAGGCGGGAGACTAATTACAGTACAAGTTTCATTTGTGAAGGGACTCCAGGGAGAGGAGGAGGGGGAAGATAGCTCTTTGCTTGCTCTGCCACCTAAACAGTTTGTATTTGTTAGTGTAGAAATAAGTATGATGACAGCAAACTGATGCCTAAGGAGCAATTCACCCATTAACCTGACAGCCGCCGCAGTTCACACCCACCACCATTTATATGCACCATTAATATTTATAAGGGTGACGTGTCTTTTTGACAGGAACTTGTGCCTCCAACGACAACAGATGTTATACCATTTATGAAAGAAACTACTCAAGCATTTCCAATGGACCTTGTCCATGCTCATCATGTCTTTATTGCGTGCTCTGATTATATTATCGATGGAGAGCCTGGGTCACCAATACTTCCAGTCCAAGAACACAGATGGCAGCACACTGGCCTTTAGAGTACTTAAACATTTTTGAAGTTTCATTATGCCTCTGTGGATGTTCTTCTGGGAGCTGGAGACCTTCCAAATGCACCTGACAACTCAGAAGTGTGTGAGGCATTACGTGTCAGACTCTCCCATCTCATGAGGATTTGCCTCTTACCTGGGCCTCCAAAACACATATGGCACATAGCTGAGGCTGCAGGATTGCCTCCCACAGCTGCCTTTACTACCGCAGCTGCATCATCTACAAAGAATTAAAGCTTGTTATTATATGCTGTGTTATACTTCCCTATGCATAGGCTTGCAGGAGAGCACATGCAGCAGGGCACAGATCCAGTTATCTCTGCTAAAACTGTGCTGTTCCTTGGCCAGACTGCAATTTAGCACATGTAGGAGCCCGTCTCTGACAGGACAGAGCTCCCCATTCTAGCAAAGGTTAAACTCCCACCCTCCACAGAGGAGGAAGCAGTGCCCATACACTTCCCCATCAGCAGGGGTTTAACCTGGAATGGGTTTAACCTGGAAAGAATGATACGGATAAGTTGATGAGTTTTGTGAAAGAAATCTCCTTCAGGAACCACCATGCATGGGCAAGCACTGAGGTACTGGACAAAGTATCTAAGGAACATTTTCTTTTACTAGATTGCAGTTGACATTTCCATTAAAATGCATGAGGTTACCATGATTCGCTTCAACTGATATGATGGAACTTGTTTAAAGTAGCACAAAAATATCACATTATCCCGTGGGCTAGAGGAGATAGCCTGCAGTGACTCCCTCCTCCAGAATGGCAGCTCTAGTGATGCCCTGATATTTATGGCACATACATTTTTAATGCCCAGCACAAACAGCTCCAGCATTTGTCAACTCATTTGACCAGCAGCTTTTCAAAGACAATAAAAAAAGACATGCTGCAGAACAAGAGCTAGCAACAGTACAATGCCTTGCCATCAGCACCCATCCAGTCAGAACAGAAATAGGATGTTATAGCCACGACCAACTCTCTCTAGCCATCCTTGGCCAAGATTTGCTAGCCTGCTGGTAGAGTCTCCTCTTCTCATGCATTCAGAAGTCCTCAACCTATCCCTGCAGCTCCTCACTGCTCAGAAACACACAGATCTGAGAGGCCTGTGAGAAATCGTTGCATTTCCTTACCCAAGTCCTAACACAGCTGAACTTCGACTGAGGTGAATTTGGGAGCTCCTTCGCTTCACATTTTCCTAGATTAACAGTTAATCTTCCAGCCTAAGTTAGCTCTGAAACACAGCTGATACCAACACCTGCAGTAAAGAGGCCTGACAGGTTTGGGGACTGCACCTGCAGCCACAGCGGTGCAATGCCTCTTGTGTAAATCAGCAGAATTTATACCAGCATTAACCCCACTGTTGGAGCACCTGATTACTTATGTGTTGTGGTTTAACCCCAGCCAGCAACCAAGCACCAGGCAGCTGCTCACTCACCTCCCCCCAGCCCAGTTCTAGGAAAAGCTAAGCTTTCTCTGAAGGGAAAACAAGCTCACAAAATCTTTTAGTTCATCTTTTACCACGTGATTACATACATTGTGTGTTACTGCATATTTTATAAATATGTGTAAGTATATTAGTGTGTTTTATACACCTCTGCTGACCTTATGTGCCTAGTTTTGCTTCAGAAAGAAGATGGCTCCTCCAAAATTGTGACACCCGTTACTTCACTGTAGTTTGCACCCATACAATCACGGTTTTTCCCTGCCAGGCCAAGTATGCATAAAACATACACAAAATGCAGCCACAGGTGTCTCTACTCACTTAAATACAAAAATGTTGTGTACCTGGCCTGCTCCAAGCAGCATTTCTGCTTAGCCAGCATTAATTATATCAATGAAAAGAATGAGCCAGTTTCCAACACTGTGTTATGCAGAGAACTGCGTACATGAAAAGCAGAAGGACAGACTTAGTTATACATCCTACTCTGCTCCTGCCTGGTGCAGGGAAACTTGTCACCAACTGGACAAACTCTTTGACAAAATCCAAGTACTGATGCTTTAACATAAAAGGAAGAAACACAACAGAAATACCTTTCTGAAAATAACATCTCCTGTCCACTGCGATACAAAAAGCAGAGTGGCCTGAACTTAGGTCTCCAGCCAGGATACCCCACATGCCAGCTCTATCCCTGATGTGCTCCTCTGTGATGTCTGTGAGAAGACACTGCTGAACTTCTCTATCCCAGTCTGCTCTTTTATCAGACATGGATTAACACAGTGCAGGCACGGGTGTTTATACAGCGCTTAGGAGATGAAAAGCAGCCTTGAGTAACAGTGGGACTGACTAAGAGCCATCCCAGCCTTTCCCAGAGCACGTGCAGTTACCTGCAGGACCACGCGAGACGCGCCAGGCACCGACCTACAGGCGCGGATCCATAGCAAATGATGGAGCCGGAGGTCACGAGGCTCTATGCAGCTGTGGGCGCCCACAGCTCATATCAGACCTCTCAGCAAGAATAACCTCAGCACCACCAAAACCAGTGGGCTTTCCATGGCGAAACAAACCGGGAGAAAGCTGGAGCGGGAGTGGAGCTATGCTGGACACATAGAGGGAGGCGAACGTGCGGCAGTGCCGAGTCAAGCGGGGGACGCGTCTCCCGTTTCCTCGGGGGGTAAAAATATGACATGCATTAGCGAAGAGAATAAAAGGAGGGAAACAAAGGAGCGGGAGCGAACACCTGTCGCTCTCCTCAGGGACGAGCCCTAATGCTTTTATTTGCCTCAGTATGCCGGGGGAACTGCAGCTGCCGACTGTCATCAGCATCAAGTTACCCGCACAAAGCTCGGCCTGCCCGGCGCTTCCAGACAGGGGAGGCGGAGGGCTGGACGCGCCCGGGGACGGCACCGAGCGCTCGGGGCCCGGCTGCCCGCGGCCACAGGGCGGGCGAGCGGACCCTGGGGCTGGGGAAGGGCTGCCCCGGGGGGCAGCCGTGGTGTCCAGCACAGCCGTGGTGTCCAGCACAGCCCTGCATGGCCTGAACGGGCGCGTCCTCCCCAGCAGGCACTCAAACTCCGGCTCCCGGAGCTTCCCCATCCACCGGGATGGGGCAGGACAAGGAAGACTTGGCCCCTGGCCAGCTGTGCCTGTTCAGTCCCGCTGGTTCCCGCTCAGAGCTCAGACTAGCTCTTTCACGCCCAGGTCGGTCCCTGTCGGCAGCGAGGGGCACCGACGGCCCCCGACGAACCGCACTCACGCGTGTTCCGATGCTTTGAACCCGTAACGGGCGTTGGGTGTTTGGGGGTTCATTGCAGGGTTGGACTGACATGAACCGCTGCTTCGCGGAACCGCACGCTGCAGGGAGGGGCACGTCCCCTTCCCACAGTCCGGACCGAGAGTCTCTGGGCAGTGTCAGCCTCGAGAGCGAGGCCGACCCCGATCCCATTCCCGCTCCGCGCCCGCCCCGGTCCGGCACAGCCGGACCCCGACCCGGCCCCGCCCCGGCGCAGACAAAGCGCGCGATGCCCATTGGTCCGTTCGGCCCACGCGCGGCGCGGCCCGCGCGGCGCGGCCAATGGGCTCATTGACATGCAAATCGCGGGGTATAAAGCGGACGGCGCGGGGCGGGAGCGGGGCTCAGGGGCCGCCATGGCGCCGCGCACCGACCGCCTGCTGCGGGGCCGAGGCTGCGCGGAACCCCGCGCCGACCGCAGGGTGAGCGACGGGGGCCGCGGCGAGCGGGGCGGGGTCGGGCCGGGCGGGGGGTCTGATGGCGCTGTTGTCCCCGCAGACAAGGAAGCCGCTGGTGGAGAAGAAGCGCCGCGCGCGGATCAACGAGAGCCTGCGGGAGCTGCGGGTGCTGCTGGCCGACAGCGAGGTGAGGCGGCGGCGGGGCGGGGCGGGGGCCGGCGGGGGCCGGCGGGGCCCGGGGCTGCGCTGACGGCCGGGGCGCCCTGGGTCAGTTTCAGGCGAAGCTGGAGAACGCGGAGGTGCTGGAGCGGACGGTGCGGCGGGTACGGGCCGTGCTGGAGCGCCGCGGCCGCGGTGAGTGCGGGCCCGGGAGGTGGCGGGTGGCGCCTGGCCCGGCCCTCGCCTCACCCGCGCCCCTCTGTCCCAGGCGGCGGGCGGCGGCTCCTCGAGGCTAGCGAGCGCTTCGCCGCCGGGTATATCCAGTGCATGCACGAGGTGCACACCTTCGTCTCCAGCTGCCCCGGCATCGACGCCACCACGGCTGCCGAGCTTCTCAACCACCTGCTGGAGTCCATGCCCCTCAGCGAGGGCGGCTGCCCGGACTCGCTCACGGACGTTCTGGGGGATGCCGCGCTGCTAGCCCTGCCTGCCGGGGCCCCCCTGGCTCTGCCCGCCCCGGCGCCCTCGCCGTCCCCCAGCGAGGAGACCTGCTCCGACTCGGACGAGGCGGAGGCCGAGCCGGGCCAGACCCGCACAGACGGACTGGACGCGTCGCAGACGCGCGGGCTGCCCTCGGCCGGCCTGCCCAAATCCATGTGGAGACCCTGGTAACGAAGGAGCGGGAGACAACGCACACCTACCTATGGGGGAGAGCAAGGGGTCCCACGGCAGCAGGGGCACTGCCGGCACACGTGTGTGTATGTGAGCGTGCGAGAGAGTGTGTGCACACACTCTAGGACTGTATCAGTGGCGCTCTGACGCTGTCAGACCCTGACAGGCTAATAGCGAATGCGTTAACATTTCATTTGTGTGTGTGGCATTTTGTAACTTAAGGGGTTTGTTTTTATGAGACGTTGGGAAGGGGGAGGGGAGGGAGGAGGAGGGAGTTGGGTTGTAGTAGCAAAGCTCTCTGGATACACAGCAGTTATAACCCTCTCTCTTTTTTTCTTGGCCCTTATAAGTGGCCCAAATACCACTACCATTTTTTTTTTTTTAAGGAAAAGCCCTTGTGTATTTTAAATCGTGATGGTTAACTCCATGAGAAGCTCGAGCTCAGTCTGCATGCACGGTTTTAAGTGTTTTAGTGATAGCACAGACCCCTGAAAGGGGTTGGTCTTGTTAGCATCTGTACTCAGTAGCAGTCTAGAGTCTCCCCTTCAGTGAAGGGAGAGAAAATTAGAAACCTGGTGGAACTAGACAAACATTTAAAAGATACTGGTGGCAGGGTGCCTTTTAGAAATGAGTGTCTTTATGCACATTTTGCTTTTAGCACATTTGAGTTTATTGTGACTTTATGTATATTAGGTGTCAAATGTTTATTATTTTTAATCTTTAATAAAAAAATAACTGAATTCACAACATGGCATGTATTGTGGAATGTGATACACTTCTAACCCATTTAAAAAAATTAAAAATACAGTTCCCTATTATTAACAACAGTATGTGTATATCATGGAAACAATGCTGGTAATTAAGCACTTAATTCTTGTACTAGTGTTGTTAAGTAGTGGAATTCAAATGTTTCTTTTGTTTAATATTAGAAGACAAGTACTTAAGTTATTGCAGGGAGCAAGGTCATTCTGGCTAAGGTTGGTCTTAGGCCACAGGTTTCTAGGCTGGTTGGTCTGGATGCCATTCTCAAACCTACTATACTGGATCTGCCATCTGAAGGTGCTGCTCATACACGTACAGCCCTAACTTCAGAAGTGCCAGGCAAATCCTGTCCTGGGGCATAACTTCACGAGGAGGGTGTTTTTTTTGTTTGTTTGGTTGATTGGAGTCTTTTTTTTTTTTCTTCCTCTCAAATGCAAAGTTAGATAGAATGGGCAACAGATTTGGAAGGTATTCTTTAAAATTAGTTTCTCGGGGGCTTGGGGGGGACCCTCAGCATTCTCGTATATGAGCTTTGATCCCTCCCTACTCCTACTTTGGGGAGATGCCAGGTTATTTATGCTGTGAAAATACCTTTCAGAGAGCTGCCATTGTAAAGAGGAAAACAAAAAGGACTGTGAAGTATCTTAATACGTGGAAGTTCTCAAACATAGAACAAGCAAGGAAGGAAGCAACCTAACTACCAGGGGACATGTAACTTTGTTTTACTAAGAACCCTATGGAATAATTAAAATGGAAACTAGGATACTGGTAAGACCTATCCTTTGTAGTTTTCTTTACCCGAGGTGGGTGTTCTTATTCAAAGATGGCCATCAAATTTGTTTGGTTCTTCTCATCCCCTTTTGTGCTAAATTCCCTTTGAACTGGGGGGAGAGGGGCAAAAACCAGCTGAGCAAGGGGAAGTGAGAGCTGTAGTGACCCTTCTGCTTTTGGGAGGGAGGTCAGTATTTTAAAGTGTAAATGAAAGAGGAGCCTGGGACACTTGCACTGAAAGTAACAACCTACACACAAGATGACCTCTTGGACTGAGGCTGTACCTCTCTAGGCCCAGCACAAGTCAGGGTTTATTTACATAAAGCTCTTACCCCCAGGTATCACTCTCCACAGTTAGCCCAGGTAACAATACCTTGCTGTACCACCAAGGGCATTTCCCACAGGGCATGTCACTGTGTATTGTTACCTTGCTGCACTCAGCCAGAGCCCCTTACCTGTAACAGCTGGAAAAGGCCCTTTCTGTGAGGAGGCTCTCAAAAGGGAGATGAAGCCACAGCAACAACAGCGACAGCCCAGCCTGTGGTTCGCACCAGCATACACAGCAGCACTGGAGACATCTGTCTGAGCTCACTGGCCTCAGCTGTGACATCCAGGGGTGATCCTGGGCCAGTGCAGCCACTCGGGCCCCTCTGCTGCTGCAGGAACACCAGAGGCAGCTTCATTTCCATGAGATGAAAGACCCTCCAGTTAGGGGTCTCTGTAACACTCCTATGAACGCAAGTGCAAATCCTGACACTTTGGTGACAGAAACACAGCCCAGAGTCAACAAAGAAGTGCCAGCCTTGGTTTGGCAGTGGATGGAGGCAGGGGCAGCAAAGCCATCTCTAAGCAGCACCGTGGACTCGTTGCTTAACTTTTCCTGGACTGGCCCTGGAGAATGGGAGCCAAAGCTGGCCTTCCCCATTTACCTGTGCCTTTTCCCATTCCTGCATATATTGCACTTCTCACACCTGGGGTAACCCTCCTGGGCTGGTGGCCCACACAATTCCCTGCACATCTGCCACAGCAACTGGAGACCTGGGCATGTACCAGCCCTGCTCCTGCAGCAAGAAACAGGCAGAGGTGAGGCCACCCAGACAGCTGCTCTCCCAAAGCCAGGATGGTTAGGAAGAGTACAGGGATTACAGGCCTATCCCCTCAGCATTTACCAGTCCTGTACTGGCTGAAAAGAAAAAGCCAGATCAGAGCAGTACTACTAAGAGTTTTTCAAAAGTGTCAAAAGCATTTTAGAAATGTGTTATTAGCAATATGGCTTTTTCTTTTAAATCCACAAATTAGGTTCACAGAAAGTTTACATCCTCTGATTAGGTGTTGCTGGATTTCTCCATTTGCATTTCTGTACCTTACTGCAAAGGTGTCAAATCTGACACTCCCCTGACAAAGGCAGGAAGAGGTGAGCGGGCGGGACTGGGGAAGAGGCAGTGGGGGAAGGAAGGTTTCCAACAGCTCTGATGAAAAACCAGTAAAGCCTTTTCAAGTCCTTCTTTATAGAAACTGCCTTTATTCTTTTCCATTCTAAAGTAATACAAACAATCTGATCTGACAGTACTGCCTTGTAAAAGGAGAGATGGGCAGCACACTAACAGGACTCCTCTCGTTTGATATGCAGTTGAAGAATAATAGAAAGAAGGGCTCATTTTCCCCTCTCTTTGCATGTCAGTCACTCACACCTGTTGCAGAGGAAAACTGCTCCTTGTTAGACCAGGTCAGCTTCGAGGACTTACAGCTCAAACCTCCTCCCAACCTCTTGGCAACAAATACCAGTTTTTTTGTCAGAGCCTCAGGCCAGGAGGCAAGATCAAGCTTTTAGATTGTCCAAATCAACTTACATCATCTTTCATCTCTCACTAGCAAGTATCATGCAGCTCTCTACAGTTTCCCTCTCAAAATAAATAAATGCTTTAGTCTTTATTCCATTTAAAAGGACAGATGAATAAAAGCTCAGTCCAGCCCTAAGCGGCAGGGTTAGGGGATGCACAGACATCATGTGGAAAATCTCTGCTAAGCAGACAGTTTGTTCCTGTCTATAATACAGACAGTTGACATTTCTTACCATCCCCGATGCTGCCATTAGCAGAATGCTATCAACACAAGTCACAAAAAAGGAGAATTTACTCCTGTAAGAAGTGTTGGTTAATCCTGGCATCCAGAGCCTTGCCATGTTATGGTAAACTCTCCATAGATAACATCCCCAAGGTGCTATCCACTCTTGATACTTCCATCTGTTGGAGCCCAGTTTCAGTATTTCCCAGTTTTTGAGCCCATCTCCAAGCACAGCTCTATGGACACACTCACACAGCCAGCAGGCCTCCAGCCCTAACTGCTCCTCCACCCTGCAGACACACAGGGTGTGCTCACAGAGCTGCTGTTCAGTTGCTGGAACACACCAAGACCTTTGCCCAAGCCACTTGCTCTTTTCTCTGGAGATGAAAACAGTTGAGCCAAACAACACATCTCCTGCCAAGTCTGTCCCACCAGCCATGGTCTGGACCACAGAAACACAGAAGCCAGTATGAATAGGACCTGGGAGGGGAACATCATCTTGCTCCACAGAAGAGCACAATGGTTTCAACAAGTTCACACATGAAGCACATGGAAAAATCAAGGATCCAAACAATCCATTAATCCAGCTGCCTTAACCAGAAGCCTACCCTTCCTCTGCTTCCTAAGACATATTTTCATCTTCTTGCATGAGGTGCCTGGTTCCAAGTTGCCATTATGCTCCTCTTACAGCAAATTCCTGAGTCCACAGTTATCTATATGGATAGTGTCACTAAAGCCACTAAAGTCACAATGCACTTTAAGCCTCTCAGGCTTCTGCATGAGCTAGGCTAAAGAAAAAGCAAAGGGGAAAAAATAGTCTCTCTCCTTCCATGGGATTTTAGCTCCTTATACAGCATTATAGTTTTCAGCAAGTAAAATTTGTTGCACTGAATTTTAAGAAGATTAAAAAAAAATTCAAGCTGGTGCAGAAAACATTCAAACATGAAAATACACCTTGCAGCACAAGGCTTTAAGTTAATTGAGTTAAAGAAGATGATGAATGAGGGTGATTTGATTAGCTATACTGCATATGTTGTATTACACATATGTTATATAGCTCACTTAAGAGCCGAGGAAATCATGGCTGCAAAAAGTATTTTAATGCAATAAAGTAGAGCCTTAAATGCCAAGACCTAGATAGTGGGCCCAAGTAGCTTGGAATGAGAAGGAAAAGGATTGAAATTAAGACACTGGAAGAAGTAATGAATTTCTTTCTCTTAATGTCAAGTGAGACAGAATATATTCCCAGAAGCAAATACAAGTTGCTTTGGTTACAAACAAAAACTACTTAGTAAAACAACAACATACAAGCAATTATATTAACTGATCCCTTCTGGCCTTACATTTCTTAAATGTAAAATTAACTTAATTTGTGGATATTTAGTTTTTGCATTGGTCTCCAAATAAAATACAAGTTGAAAGCATGGAGAGCAGTTTTCCTTGCATCTGAGAAAGCACAAACCTAAGGCATATTCAAACGTGTTCGCAGATTGCTTCAGGAATTCTGCAGATTCAGTCACCCTCAGCTGAACTCTGCAAAGCTCCTACACCATTGAAGAACAAAGCAAAGCAGCCTAATTTAGAATAACCACCAAAGAGGCTCACATTAAAGCATCCTTAAAATGATGTGTCTGTGCCCACTGAGAGGAAAGAGAAATTACTGGGCATCACCCAGAGCCTACATGTCCACTCAGGAGTTTCTAAATGGGTTTCAGCTTCTAGTGGCCCCTGTGAAAGCCTGGCTGTGTTTTGGGCTTTGGACCATCCGTGACTGAAACACACACTAGTAAAACTTCCGACTTCCTTTCTTCCTAGCCTAAACTAAGTTCACTGGAACCAACCTGCGCTAAGCAAAGTCACTATAAACCCCCTCCTCCTGTCAGCAAACAATGGCTTTTGTAATCAATGCTCCACAGATTGAGCAGGGGGGAAAAGCCCAGAAAAGACACATCAACTCTGTCATCAGCCCCATCAAACTTTTCCAACAACAGGGACAAGATGTTCACAGCATCCATATGTCTCACCAAGGCCTGAATCACACAAGTTTAGAGCAAATTTGCCTCCTTTGGGCCTGCAAATGTTACTTGCTGGTTACCATCAGCCTTCATAAAACAAGAGTGGCTTCATGAATCACAGCTGCCCCCCAACATGG